GGACAGGCTGACTCACTCACTCACTCGGGACAGGCTGACTCACTCACTCACTCGGGACAGGCTGACTCACTCACTCACTCGGGACAGGCTGATTCACTCACTCACTCGGGACAGGCTGACTCACTCACTCACTCGGGACAGGCTGACTCACTCACTCACTCACTCGGGACAGGCTGACTCACTCACTCACTCGGGACAGGCTGACTCACTCACTCACTCGGGACAGGCTGACTCACTCACTCACTCGGGACAGGCTGACTCACTCACTCACTCGGGACAGGCTGACTCACTCACTCACTCGGGACAGGCTGACTCACTCACTCACTCGGGACAGGCTGACTCACTCACTCACTCGGGACAGGCTGACTCACTCACTCACTCGGGACAGGCTGACTCACTCACTCGGGACAGGCTGACTCACTCACTCACTCGGGACAGGCTAACTCACTCACTCACTCGGGACAGGCTGACTCACTCACTCACTCGGGACAGGCTGACTCACTCACTCACTCGGGACAGGCTGACTCACTCACTCACTCGGGACAGGCTGACTCACTCACTCACTCGGGACAGGCTGACTCACTCACTCACTCGGGACAGGCTGACTCACTCACTCACTCGGGACAGGCTGACTCACTTACTCACTCGGGACAGGCTGACTCACTCACTCACTCGGGACAGGCTGACTCACTCACTCACTCGGGACAGGCTGACTCACTCACTCACTCGGGACAGGCTGACTCACTCACTCACTCGGGACAGGCTGACTCACTCACTCACTCGGGACAGGCTGACTCACTCACTCACTCGGGACAGGCTGACTCACTCACTCACTCGGGACAGGCTAACTCACTCACTCACTCGGGACAGGCTGACTCACTCACTCACTCGGGACAGGCTGACTCACTCACTCACTCGGGACAGGCTGACTCACTCACTCACTCGGGACAGGCTGACTCACTCACTCACTCGGGACAGGCTGACTCACTTACTCACTCGGGACAGGCTGACTCACTCACTCACTCGGGACAGGCTGACTCACTCACTCACTCGGGACAGGCTGACTCACTCACTCGGGCTCATTGCGCGAGCCTCGCTGGAGATTACACTCACACACGCGTGTCTCCCACCACGCACACACGCCCTCCCCACCCAGCCCCTCCCCACCCTCCCCTCTCCACCCAGCCCCACCCCTCCCATTTTTGGATGCAAAACGGACGGACACAATAATCCCCTGTGGGCTGGTGTAACCAGGAGGTTCTTACCAGCAATATATGCATATGAATGTCTATATACGGGCTAAGTCGCTGGTAATAACAGCGTAAGGTTCCAAACTAAAGTCTCGTCCGTATTTCAAATCACCGCCACGAGTCTTATTGCGACTCCACGTGTTCCAGACGGACAGGACACAAAAACGCAGCAGACGCATTGACGCTTCCAACCTTCGAGCTGTCATCAACACCTCCCTCCGCCTGCAGCTCTGATCTCCCGGGAAATGCCTCCAAATTTCCACTCAAGTCAGCTGTCAAAAGCATCATCTCTCTCTCTCGCTCAGATGCGATAGGGAGGAAGACGGCTCACAGGGGGGAGGGAGGGTTGTTCCTCTTGAAGCGTTCTCCCCACTTTGCCAGACCCAATGGTGTTGTCACGAGTCTCCCCTGTCGAGATCTGCCAAAAACCCATTTCACTGATCAACAACAACAAAAAACATGTTTTTCTGGCCTGGACTTTTGCAGCTGTTCTAGACTAATTTCAGGGTGCTGATTCCAAATCTGATCTCAGATTTGCTCTATCACATCTCATTTTTATGCTATCGGCATACCCCATTTTCATTGATTTTACCCGAAATTAACTCTGTCGCTTATGATTGCAAGTTGTTGCGAGTCAGTGACTGCTTTAGTGTTAAAAGATGGTGCTGTATTTTTTAGGATAGTGTGTTTATAATATCATTTTATGTAGATTTCCACATTTATTTAATATTTTTCTTCTGCAGTTTTTATTGAAAATGCAATATTTGATATCTCAAAAACCTTGTGTGATAGACAAAAACTGATGCCAGATTTGGAATCAGCACCCCAAAATTACCTTAAAACCGTTGGAATACCTTATACCAGAAAAAGTGTGTTGACCAGTGTTATCTGTGGCCTGCCGACCCGCTCACACTGGACATCTGTGGAGAGACTTCATAGCTCATCGGATTTCCTCCACTTCTAAAATTGAGATTCCGATTTGGAGGCCGGCAGAGGTATCCACCCCCCAGAGCTGGCAATGCCTCATCGGGAACGATCAGCCTGACAGAGGGAATCCCTCCAGACTTGGCATCGCCCAGCCGAGTGGTAGAGCATTACTTAAACTTCGGGGCCGTCCATAAATAATGAAAAAGAAACACGCAAACTCCAAATATACAGCAGCAGCAGGCGTCGGGGTCGAGATCGAACCCACGACCTCCTGTATACCAGGCGAGGTAGTTAACATCTCCTAGCCACCGTGATGATGATGAGAGAGAGACGCAAACTCCAAATATACAACAGGCGTCAGGGTCGGGATCGAACCCACGACCTCCTGTATACCTGGCGAGGTAGTTAACATCTCCTAGCCACCGTGATGATGATGAGAGAGAGACGCAAACTCCAAATATACAGCAGCAGGCGTCGGGGTCGAGATCGAACCCACGACCTCCTGTATACCTGGCGAGGTAGTTAACATCTCCTAGCCACCGTGATGATGATGAGAGAAAGACACGCAAACTCCAAATATACAACAGGCGTCAGAGTCGGGATCGAACCCACGACCTCCTGTATACCAGGCGAGGTAGTTAACATCTCCTAGCCATCGTGATGATGATGAGAGAGACGTAAACTCCAAATATATAGCAGGCGTCAGGGTCGGGATCAAACCCACGACCTCCTGTATACCAGGCGACGTAGTCAACATCTCCTAGCCACCGTGATGATGATGAGAGAGAGACGCAAACTCCAAATATACAGTAGGCATCGGGGTCGGGATCGAACCCCCGACCTCCTGCACACCAGGCGAGGTAGTTAACATCTCCTAGCCACCGTGATGATGATGAGAGAGAGACGCAAACTCCAAATATACAGCAGGCATCGGGGTCGGGATCGAACCCACGACCTCCTGCACACCAGGCGAGGTAGTTAACATCTCCTAGCCACCGTGATGATGATGAGAGAGAGACGCAAACTCCAAATATACAGCAGGCGTCAGGGTCGGGATTGAACCCATGACCTCCTGTATACCAGGCGACGTAGTCAACATCTCCTAGCCACCGCGGCGCCCCGCGTACGCGATTCTGTTCACTTCTTAGTCTCAATCACCTCGGCAGGGACCGCGTGTGGTGGGGGTTAACGCGCGTGGGTTACTCGCAATCTCTTCTAAGCAGTTTGGCCAGCGTGCCAGCGTCGTCCAAAACGCCCCCTGCTCAGAGTAGGAGGTGGGAGAGAGGCAGGGGACCTCTCCAGAGCTGTCTCGACTCTCTCGTGGTCTCGACTCTAGATCAGGGGTGGGGAACATTTTTTCTGCCAAGGACCATTTGGATATGTATAACATCATTCGCGGGGCCATACACAATTATCAACTGTAAAATTAGCCTGTTATACTATGAGACATCTCCTTTACCAGTGACAAAATATAGTAGTAAGTTTTTACCCTTTTAACGGGTACAAAAACTGGCACCTTTATACAAGTTGAAAGGGTAAAAACCTACTACTATATTTTGCCACTGGTAAAGGAGATGTCTCATAGTGTAAATGCTTACCCGAGCTCTCAATACTCTGATAGTGCACTGTCTTTGAGTTATACGCCTTTTGGCGTCATCTGGTCCAACACCAATGTAGACTAGGCTCTAAGAAAAGCTGTCTCGGGTGTGGACCAATCAACTTCAAGGGCAGTGCATATCATTATCATCATCAGAGTTGTTTCTTTTTGTTTACATTTTGACTGCTTGTGTTGTGGTTATTGCAAACATGATGCCTTGTATAAAGGTGTCAGTTTTTGTACCAGTTAAAAGGGTAAAAACCTACTACTAGCCTGTTATATTTGGTCAAATATGTAATTAACTCGCCCCTAATGCGATGGCTGGAACTGCTTCTCTTTGGGCGAGGCGTGGTGATGTTAGCTGGCTTATTGATGATGTTGCTGCTACTCGCAACTAATCTTCCAGGTTTGCTCCGAGATTTATTGAATTTCGAGTCCCGCCTTCGGTTGCCTTGGCAGGGCCACACCAAATGATTTTCGTGGGGCCTCATACGCCCCCCCCCCCAGCCCTGCAGTCTAGAACCTTAGACGCGACCGCTCTGGATGATATCCCCACTCCGAGAGCTCCCTCCGGTTGCGAAGCATTCCACGCTCGGTGGTATGAGCCAAAAGCCATCTCAGGAGCGCTTCAAGCCATAATACTTTTACCTTCCCACTCAATACGACAACAACAACAACATCAGATATTGATTCCTCCAGGGCTTTTGCTCCACGCAGTTCTAAATCAATCACGCGCGCACACGCGCACCCTCCCTCCCTCTCTCCCCATGTGTGTGTGTGTGTAACCTTTAAGGCCGATCGGGACGAGTTGGGAGTTGAGCGATGAACATCGTTTGTGGCGGTGGCTTGGGGCTTGGCGGCGTAGAAGTTCGTGCGCTGCGCCACGAACTCCCCACGACCCCCTCCTCTCCCCCTCCCCCCCGAGTTCGATTCCTGCTCGCGGTGACGATATCATCTCATCCGGTCCTGGTGCGTGCTCCCCTAGGTCGACTCGGCCTCAAATGAGTGCCTGGTGCGGTGCGTAAAAATAGCAAAAACGCATCGCCACTCGGGGGAGACAAAGGCGGGCGGGCGGTCGAGAGTGGCGTTCTGCTACTTGAAACCCCAGCAGTCTGTTAAGAGTATACGGGGGGAGGGGGAGGAAATCCTTATAATTTTGGTGTCTTGGGAGCGTGGAGCGAGGCAGGAAGACAGCAGCATCAGTAGCAGCGGCAGCAGCAGCGGATGAGAATTCAGCCACGTGGCAACCGCCACCGCCATGGAGATGTCCTCGCTCATGATCACCAACATAATCTTCTACGCGCTCTTCGCCGTGGCCGGCCTGCCCGCCAACGCGTTCCTCATCCTCGCCAGCCGCCGGCGCCGCCGCACCACCTTGCTGCCCGTGGGCGACCTCCTGGTCCTCAACTTGGCTCTCGCCGATTTCCTCCACATCGTCTTCCGCAACCTCTCCGTGCTCGTGTCGCACGTGGCCCGCGAGTGCCTCCTGGGCGCGTTGCCCTGCAGCGTCATCGGCGCCGCAATGTACTTCACCATCGGCTTGAGCGCCAACTTCACGCTCATGCTCAGCCTGTACCGCCTGGGCAAGCTGCGCCACGTGTGCCGTCCCTCGGTGCTCGTGGCGCGCATGGAGGGCTCCCGGTGGCCCCCGCGAGCCGCCGCCGCCGCGTGGCTCTTCTGTTGCGCGTCGGCGCTGCCCTACGTGGCGCTGCTCGAGCGCACGGACACGGCGGGAGACGCGTGCGTGTGCACCGCGAACCCGCGCCTCGTGCGCGGCGGGGAGCGACTCCTCGCCTACAACATCTTCCAGCAGGTGAGGGTCGCACCGTGCAACGTTCCGTGAACGTTCGTGCCCGTATCGTGTCCACACCGTGCCCGGACCGTGAACGTATCGTGTCCGCACCGTGCCTGCACCGTGCCCGTACCGTGCCAGCTCCGTGCCCCTACCGTGCCTCCACCGTGCCCGTACCGTGCCCCCCCCCCCCTACCGTGCCCCCACCGTGCCCGCACCGAGCGAGCTCACCCACTTCTCGCGGCGCGGTGAGATCTTAGCTCGCACTCACCTCGCGTGACGGCGCCTGCCTGCCTGCTGTTTGTTGTTGTTTGTTGTTGTTGTGCATTTGGAGTGCGCGCTTCGCGAGTTGTGGTCGCGTGGATTTTTATTTCCCCTCCTCCTCCTCTTCCTCGTCATCCTCGTTCCTTCCGCGGGGTTTCGCCCTCCACGTTTAGAAATCTGCTCTGCTCGGAGTGTTTGGCCGCTGCTCTAAATTCACACTTGCCATGGCGATGATGATGATGATTTTGGTGATGATGATGATGATTTTGGTGACGATGGTGATGATGATGATGATTTTGGTGATGATGATGATGATTTTGGTGATGATGATGATTTTGGTGGTGATGATGATGATGATGATTTTGGTGATGATGATGATTTTGGTGATGATGATGATAAGCCACTTGCATCAATCATCACGTGTGGCCAGGTCGCTTTCTGAAAAAAAAATTGTAAGAGAGCTGCTAATGGCTTTTTTGTTCTGTTTCGTGGTCTTTACCCGGTAAAAAAGAATTTTAAAAGTTTATTTGCAGGATGATTCACGCAGTCCGTCGTTCATCCGTCCATCTTCATCTCACCGGGATGCCCGTGGTCTGGACCGCTCGTGCGATCGGATCGGTGCGCGCACGCCGGCGATGTTCCGTCGGAGGGGTCGTTTCGGAGCGTGTGATTTTTTTTAGTCAGATGCGTAGGCTGAATGCGATGGCGATACTGATAATATCCATCATTAAATGATCGATTCGGTGTTGAGTTTCATTCGTTTCACCGGTTGTGCGAGAGAGAGAGATATATGAAGAGGCCGCCATAGCGTCTTGACTTGCAGGAGCTACCTGGAGCATTATTCTTCTTCTTATCTCTGCTTCTTCTTCTTCTTGCGTACAATGACATCAGCGCGCTCAGGAGCTCAACGCCAATGTCGAGGTCTGCTAAACCACGACGAGAGGGCTGCAGCAGAGAGAGAGAGTTGGTGTCGTTTTGCTGTTCCTTCTCCTCCTCCGTTGAAGGATCTGGTCAACACACTTTTTCTGGCATAAGGTATTCGAACGGTTTTAAAGTAATTTTGGGGTGCTGATTCCAAATCTGGCATCAGTTTTTGTCTATCACATTAGGTTTTTGAGATATCAAATATTGCATTTTCCATAAAAACTGCAGAAGAAAAATATGAAATAAATGTGGATATCTACATAAAATTATATTATAAACACACTATCCTAAACATACAGCACCATATTTTAACACTAAAGCAGTCACTGACTCGCAACAACTTGCAATCATAAGTGACAGAGTTAATTTCGGGTAAAATCAATGAAAATGGGGTATGCCGATAGCATAAAATGAGATGCGATGGAGCAAATTTGAGATCAGATTTGGACTCAGCACCCTGAAATTAGTCTAAAACAGCTGCAAAAGTCCAGGCCAGAAAAACATGTTTTTTTTTGTTGTTGACCAATGTCGCAGACCGCATTGGATTTACTCTACGACCCCTGGTATAGGTTGTGTAGCCGCAATCGCAACTGCCGTGCCTTGCCTTGAATGGCTTTTTGCTAACGAGCGCCAAAGTGTACGAAGCTGCGGTCTTTGCGATGGCAAAAAATTGCCGTTGGCGGTGATTCAAACGCTAATTAGTTATTAATGTAAACCTTGCCACTTCTGACGCAGAGTGATGCAATGTTTTCCACGAGAGTTTAGTAGGCAGTCGTAGTGGCGAGATGTTAATCACATCACCTGGTGTACGGGAGGTTCGTGGGTTTGATCTCGACCCTGACGTCCTGCGGTATATTTGGAGTTTGCGGTGTCTCTCTCTCTCTCTCTCCCCGTGGCCGCGTGGATTTTTCTCCGGGTCCTCCGGTTTTTCCCCTCCACGTTTACAATCAATGTGCCACTCATATAAATGTCCACGTGATAAGCTTTCACTTCGTTGAAAGCCAGGTCGCTTCTGAACAAGAGCTACATATCTTCTTGGTTCTTTCGGTAAAGTCTCCTCGACAGACCTGTTCTCCACCTGAGGACGGCTACTTGCATTGTTGCCGAAACGTCGTGAGAATTATTTTATTAGTTTATTTTTATTATTTTATTATTTCCATTCTACGTGACTTTACCGAAAGAACCAAGAAGATGAATCCCTGCAGTCACGAAAGCTTTAAATCGAAATTTAAGAGCTACATAGCTCAGTGGGGCCTTACCTGGTCACATAAGAAAATACTTGAGTTTTAGTTTAGCTTAGAATGGGAATGAATGTCTTCGTCTTATAATGTGACACCGATACTGCGATTGAAATGGAGTTGGTGAGTAAACAAAACAGGACTTATTGAACTACCGATGTAAGTATTGACCGTATATCTATTTGCTGAAAATTGCTAAAGAATCTGAACCTGACCTCTTGACGCCATGTCATTCTAACGCCACCCCACCCCAGGGCTTATTGAATTTACCAACCACTGATGGAAACGAGACACACACAAAAAAGAAGTTTTCATTTGACCACGAAGATTTTCAGACATAAAATCCATACCTGATTTTGAGCTCATCGGATTCCTCCAGTATATTAAACGTATTCTGATTCTTTCTCTCTCTTGCAAATTAGACTATATCCTGGTCTCTTGAGTGAGACGTGGATTTTATATTTACATCAGCAGCAAGGGCCGTTTAAGCTGTTTCGCTCTGTGTCATGGGTCTCCTGTGATGGTACGGAGCGAGTTCTCACCTCGTCAAACTCTCAGTGTGGTAGCAGACCGCCACCACTTTACTCTTAACCCTATCCTGTTCCGAGATGACTGCAAGTCGTAGGGTGAGTGACCCCATTCACCGCCGAATCTCGGGGGGCGTAGCAGCAGCGCCGCTGTTTCTAAAGACATTGCGCTCGCCGCAGAGAACCCTAGTGACACGTCCGCCGCCACTCTACGATAGCCACACGTCCTCCCGCGTGGCATACTACTTCCGATTCCGTTCAGATGACGTACACGTACGTCATCGTACATGTACGTCATCGTACACGTACGTCATCGTACACGTACGTCGTTGTGCGAGCACGTCATCGGAGCGTGCGAACACGTCATCGGGACGTGCGCCCACGTCATCGAAGCGTGCGTGCACGTCATCGGAACTTGCGTGCACGTCATTGGAAGCATGCGAGCACGTCATCGGGACGTGCGCGCACGTCATCAAGAGCGTGCGTACACATCATCGGAATGGGAAAGGGTTAAAGGAGCAGATGGTGAATCACAACGCGGCATTGACGCGTGCAGTTTAATCCACTTCAATTCAATTTAAAGCTTTCGTGACTGCAGGGATTCATCTTCTTGGTTCTTTCGGTAAAGTCGTGTAGAAGGGAAATAATAAAATAATAAAAATTGTATTTTACAATGTTTTATTTTTATTATTGTTTTATTTCCCTTCTACGTGACTTTACCGAAAGAACCAAGAAGACACTTCAATTCAGTTTCACGCAGTTTGCTTGTGTACGGCGATCTGCGGGCGTGAGAAAAAAATAAAAACAATAAAAAAAAATAAGCAATCTGCCAACGATCAATACCGTCCGAATGTAAGCTCACATCAAACGCGTTCGTAAATTTGACTTCACGGATTCGATCGCGACATTGGCGTTCTCGAGGTGGTCTGTGACAGACGAGTCGAGGTACCGAGGCGGAACGACTCACAAAGGACACCCCCTGCCCCCCCCTGCCCCCCCTGCCCCCCCTGCCCCCCCTGCCCCCCCTGCCCCCCCTGCCCCCCCCCGCTACCCCCCCTCATCATACCAGGCAAGGCATTCACTTATTTTACTGGTAGGAACCTCCTGGTTACACCAGCCCACAGGGGATTATTGTGTCCGTCCGTCCATCCGTCGTGCATTCAAAAATGGGAGGGGTGGGGATGGGTGGAGAGGGGAGGGTGGGGAGGGGCTGGGTGGGGAGGGGAGGGTGGGGAGAGGCTGGGTGGGGAGGGTGGGGAGGGGCTGGGTGGGGAGGGGAGGGTGGGGAGGGGCTGGGTGGGGAGGGTGGGGCTGGGTGGGGGGTGGGAGGGGTGGGGCTGGGTGGGGAGGGGCTGGGTGGGGAGGGTGGGGCTGGGTTGGGAGGGGTGGGGCTGGGTTGGGAGGGGTGGGGCTGGGTGGGGAGGGGCTGGTACCACCCCGTGGTGCCCTTATAAAACTCAACGTTTAACCTACTCACGCCGGCTTGTGGCCGCCCTCACAGTCGGCCATATTTGCGGAATACACCACGCCGCCGTTGACCCTGCAGGCCATTGACCGAGCAACCCAACGTTCCTACCAGCTCCCTCCGCAGGAGGAATGTGTTTCCAAAGCGACCTGGCCACAGATAATCCACAGCTCGGTGGCCGTGAGAGGGAATCGAACACGGCTCGTCGTGCGTTCATCTTGAACTTCCTTCGCGCCGTACTTCGCCGACCGTGCTCGTCGGAGGGTGGCCGGCTTCATAGCGCATGGCTCCGCTTGACCGCCCACGCTACCACTCCCCCCCCCGCCCCACTCCGTCCGCATCCCCAGCCAGTGCCGGATGAAGCTAAGTGCGGGGCCTCTAGCATATGCTGTTATAAAGGGGTCCTAAATGAATAAAAAAAACACGAAAATATTAAAACGTATTTTTTTTACTTGCATAGTAAAACGATTGCATTTTTTCATTCCCTATACAGCCATATAATACGACAAATCTCTAAGCTTAAACACCCGGTCGTTCGTAAAAGTCGAAGGCGGTATAGTACTATAGTAATAGAGCAAGTGCAGAATCACTGAACCGGAATTTATAGCTTGAAAGCGTTGAGCGCGGGGGGCCCTTGAAAGTGCGGGGCCCGTAGCTACTACTACACGTGTAGTAGCAGCTACTACACGTGTAGCAGTAGCTACGGGCCCCGCACTACATGTAGTAGTAGCTACATATGTAGCTACTTGTGCTCCTGGGATAATCCGGCGTTGTCTCCAACACAACACCCACCAAACCCACCGCACAACCACACACAAGCACACACAGACAAAGATTTTTTCCGTGTGTCCTGAACAGACTGTTGGTTGCAAGTGCTGTTAGCGAGCAGCACCTATGAAGGCCGGCACGGTACACGAGGGGGTGGGTGGCTAGCACCACGCTCGGCCGCCTTTGTCTCCCCAGTGGCGATGTTTACACACCGCACCTGGTAATTTCAGGCTGAGTCGACCTAGGGGAGGCCCAGGACCGGTTCAGATAATCGTCATTGGTGTTGGCCGTGAGCGGGAATCGAACCCGGGTTGCCGGGTTCATAGTGGAGTACGCTAACCGCTACACTACCACACTCACACACACAACCACTCACCCACACACACACTCACACACACAATCACACTCAACCACACACACACACACATCCACACACAACCACACTCACACAACCACACACCCACTCACACACACAACCACACACACTCACACACAACCACACTCACACAACCACACACCCACACACACACACAACCACACTCAAACACACACACAACCACTCACCCACACACACACTCACACACACAACCACACTCAACCACACAACCACACAACACTCAACCACACTCAACCACACACACACACACAACCACACACACACAACCACACTCACACACCCACCCACACTCACAACCACTCACCCACATCCACACACAACCACACTCACACACAACCACACTCACACACCCACACAACCACACACACACTCACACCCACACAACCACTCACCCACACAACCACTCACCCACACAACCACACACTCACACACACAACCACACTCACACAACCACACACAACCACCCACACCCACCCACACCACACACACACAACCACACTCACCCACACAACCACACTCACACAACCACTCACCCACACAACCACCCACACAACCACACACCCACCCACACACAATCACACCCACACAATCACACCCACCCACACACAACCACCCACACACCCACCCACACCCACACCACAACACCCACACACACACCACACACCCCAATCTACCCCCCACCAGGTCCTCTACGAGTTCACGCCCGTCGTGGGCATGGTGCTGGCCAACGCCAAAATCGTCGCCTTCCTCCTAACGCGCCGACGCCGCCAGGTGCTGACGGACAGCGCCGGCGACGGAGCCCCGCGTCGCCTCGTGCGCCAGGTGCGCGCCGCCAAGGTGCTCGTCCTCCTGGCGCTGCTCTTCGTGCTCTGCTGGGGCACCCACGTCCTCGTCTCGATGTTCTTCGCCCTCGACAAGGTCGCCGTGCTCGCGGCTCGCGTCGTCGGAATGCTCCACTCGGTGTGCAGCCCCTACCTCGTCGTCGCCGGCAACCGCGGGCTACGCAGTCGCCTCTGGGCCGCGCTTGGACGCGGAGGTGGAGGAGGTGGTGGTGGTGGAGGTGGTGGTGGAGGTGGTGGAGGAGGTGGCTGGGGCAGGGGGTGGTGGCGGCGGAGGTGTAGGTCGGTGGCGGTGCAGCCGAGCAGCAGGAGGAGGAGTAGCGACGGCTGTGGTGGTGGTGGCGACGGCTGTGCTGGTGGTGGTGGACGTGGTGGTGGTGGAAGGTCGAGGGTGGACGTGGAGCTGCCGCCCGTTCACGCGGACGTGCTGCAGAGCTCCATCAGCTTCAGCCAGCAGCTGCGCATGGCGAGTCTGTGAGGAGGGAGGAGGAGGGAGGAGATGGATCGTCGTGGTTGCGGATGACGGACAGGGTGCGGTAGAGCGGTCTTGAGTGTCCGATCGGGAGTCGTCGGATGGACACGGAGGGAGGGGGGGGGGGCACTGTGCCGTACGTGTCTGTGTGCATGAACTTTTTTCGCACCGTACGTAGCCAAACCGCGCGCATCGGAGGTGCGGTGGGGAGAGGGGTGGGGGGAAGGACAACAAACTAAACAGGAAAAGAATTTGCTAATTGGTTTTTTACCCTTCTATCTGGCAACAAAAACTGACACCTTTTTTTTTACAAGGAGTCATGTTTGCATAGACCACAATACCTGCAGCCGTAATGCAAACAAAAAACATAACTCTGATAATGTATGCACTGTCCTTGAAGTTGATTGCGCCTTTTGGCGTCATCTGGTCCAACACCATGTGAGACTAGGCTCTAAGGAAAGCTGTCTCGGGTGTGGACCAATCAACTTCAAGGACAGTGCATATATTATCATAGTTATGTTTGTTGTTTGCATTATGGCTGCAGGTATTGTGGTCTATGCAAACATGACTCCTTGTAAAAAAAAGGTGTCAGTTTTGTTGCCAGATAGAAGGGTAAAAAACCAATTCTCATATTTTTTACTGGCAAATGAGGTTCCAATGATGACGAAAAGAATCTCTAAACAAATGAGTTTTCCACGGAGATGATCTCAAAGTTGCAGAGCTCCGGGGGCGTCCAAAATGTCGGATGGAAGAGCGCGTTCCAGACGGACGCAGAAGGGGATGCATCTGAACGCGGTCGTGATCGGGGGCAGTCTGTGCGGATGCACGTTGAACTTCTTTTGCACCGCACGTAGCCAAGCCGTGCTCATCGGATGTTGCGGTGCGGGCTGGGACAACGATTTAAACACGCACAAAAAAGTTGTAAAGATATTTGTTGTCAATCTGATCCAGGGACGCCGCGTGGTTGGGGCGATGCAGACAGGGCCGGGTGAATGTTACGAGAAGCCTGCATATCGCAAAACTATTTATTTATTTATGTAAAAAGAAAAACGATTTATTACACTCAATGTAAATGCATAATTCTCTACGCTCATTTCTTCAAACAAAAAAAATAAAAACTATCTTTAGCTGTTCAATCTGGAATGTGGGGGAGGTGCAAACTTTAAATAAACTCTAAACTTAAATGTCGATTTAAAGCTTTCGTAACTGCAGGGATTCATATTCTTGGTTCTTTCGGTAAAGTCACGTAGAAGGGAAATAATAAAATAACAAAAATAAAACTATTAAAATTTTCACGACGTTTCGATTGCAACACAAGCAATCGTCATCGGGTGTGAAAAATACAGCAAGAAAATGTTTTGTTATGTTTCATTTTTATCATTTTATTACACTGGTCAACAAAATAAAACATTTTTTTCTGGCCTGGACTTTTGCAGCTGTTTTAGACTAATTTCACAGGGTGCTGATTCCAAATCTGATCTCAGATTTGCTCTATCACATCTCATTTTTATGCTATCGGCATACCCCATTTTCATTGATTTTACCCGAAATTAACTCTGTCACTTATGATTGCAAGTTGTTGCGAGTCAGTGACTGCTTTAGTGTTAAAATATGGTGCTGTATGTTTAGGATAGTGTGTTTATAATATCATTTTATGTAAATATCAACATTTATTTAATATTTATCTTCTGCAGTTTTTATTGAAAATGCAATATTTGATATCTCAAAAACCTGATGTGATAGACAAAAACTGAGTTGGAATCAGCACCCCAAAATTACATTAAAACCGTTGGAATACCTTATGCCAGAAAAAGTGTGTTGACCAGTGTAATTTCCCTTCTACGCGATTTTACCGAACGAACCAAGAATATGAAACTCTAAACTTGTTATTTTTAACCAGGTGAGGCCCGCCGAACGATAGGTCTCTGGTTCTCTTTCAGAAGCAACCTGCGGATATCACAAATGATGGCTAAACGAAGTGGCTCATCGTCACTTGGAAATTGACAGCAGCCAAAGACTCTAAACGCGCGTTTCTAAATGTGGAGGGGAAAAACCGGAAGACGCCGAGGAAAATCCACGCGACCACGGGGGGGGGGAGAGCGAGAGACACCACAAACTCCAAATATACAGCAGCAGCAGCAGCAGGCGTCAGGGTCGGGATCGAACTCACGATCTCCTGCATACCAGGCGAGGTAGTTAACATCTCCTAGCCACCGTGATGATGATGATGATGAGCGAGACACGCAAACTCCAAATATACAGCAGCAGGCGTCAGGGTCGGGATCGAACCCACGACCTCCTGCATACCAGGCGAGGTAGTTAACATCTCCTAGCCACCGTGATGATGATGAGAGAGAGACACGCAAACTCCAAAATACAGCAGCAGGCGTTAGGGTCGGGATCGAACCCACGACCTTCTGTGTACCAGGCGAGGTAGTTAACATCTCCTAACCACCGTGATGATGATGAGAGAGAGATACGCAAACTCCAAAAATACAGCAGCAGGCGTTAGGGTCGGGATCGAACCCACGACCTCCTGTACACCAGGCGAGGTAGTTAACATCTCCTAACCACCGTGATGATGATGATGAGAGAGACACGCAAACTCCAAATATACAGCAGCAGCATGCGTCATGGTCGGGATCTAACCCACGACCTTTTGTATACCAGGCGAGGTAGTTAATATATCCTAGCCACCGTGATGATGATGAGAGAGAGAGACACCGCAAACTCCAAATATACAGCAGCAGGCGTCGTCAGGGTCGGGATCGAACCCACGACCTCCTGTACACCAGACGAGGTGATGCCCGCGGAGTTCCAGACGCCGGTGGCTGCGGCAGGGAAACAAAGTGGCCATGGGCCTTGGCTCCTTGGGTGTAGAGAGGAGAATGAGGTTGAGAGTGGCTGTGGAGAGTTCCACCGTGATCTGGAATTCGAGGGTGTTTTTTTAAATCCTTTATATTAAGTTCACTTGCTTGCTTGCGTGCGCGCTTATGACCGTGCAAATCTTTCGGTCGTTTTTTAACCCACTTCCCGTGATCCAATCGAGCTGACATGTTGCACGCAGACTCGTTGTGCGTGACAATTTATTCTCGTGAAAAAAATTTGTTCCAAAATGTTCCATTTTTAGGATTTTTTTTCATATTTTATTTAAAATACCAATGTCATAAAAATGAAACTCTTACTCAAGATAAACAGAAATGAATAATAAAATAAAACCGATGCCACGCATATAAAGGATTTATAGTGAAAAACTTTGTTTTTACGGGTTACTTTTTTCCCTGTTTAGATTCAACTCGGATTCACCTTTGATCTCGGATTCGCTTCTCGACATCGGCTGTCTCTGCAACGTCCCTGGGGCGATTCCTCTGCAGGCGAGAAACTCGCTCACTCGCGTTGGAGATTTTGAACAATAAAAAATAAATGCCGTTGAATTTTTCTCACAACGATCCGTGAGCCGATTTGCGCCACTCCGCGTGTCACGCTCCGTGTGTCAGGTTCTGTGTCAGGTTCTGTGTGTCAGGTTCTGTGTGTCACACTCCGTGTGTCACGCTCTGTATAACCACTCTGTGTGTCAGGTTCTGTATAACCACTCCGTGTGTCACTCTCCGAGTGTCACACTCCGTGTGTCACGCTCTGTGTGTCACACGCCGTGTGTCACGCTCTGTATAACCACTCCGTGTGTCACTCTCCGAGTGTCACGTGCTCTGTGTGTCACACTCCGTGTGTCAGGTTCTCCGTGTGTCACACTCTGTGTGTCACTCACTTCGTGTATCACGTTCTGTATAACCACTCTGTGTGTCACTCTCCGTGCGTCGCACTCCGTGTGTTGTTGCAGTACGACCACGCGGAGACGGAATTCATTTTATGTTGCTAAGGGGCCGTCCATAAATGACGTCACGCACCTAGGCGGGGGGGGGGGGGGTCAGACATTTGTGACGATGTGTGACGAGGGGGGGGGGGGTGTTGAGAAATATGACGTCACATCAAAATGCGCAACTTTAAATAAATATAGACAACACGTTCTACTTAATTAAATAGACTTTGTAATAAATGTTTTCTCCTACAACATCAGAGTGCAGCGCCACATTAAATACGCACTACAATGACAATAGTTTAAAGCGATCTGAAGCCTGTTTAATTTGGGGGGGGGGGGCAGAGCTTTGTGACGTCATATTTGAGGGGGGGGTCTGACTTTTTGTGACGCCATGTGACGATGGGGGGGGGGGGGTCAAAAATCGTCAAAAATCGCGTGACGTCATTTATGGACGGCCCCTAATGCCGTTCATTAGCACCGGTGCACACAACACTCTAACTCACACCCGAGGTAGGTGCTCTCTATTACTGGTAGGAACCCACTGGTTACACCAGCCCACAGGGGATTATTGTGTCCGTCCGTCCGTCGTGCAGGGAGGGGCTGGGTGGGGAGGGAGGGGCTGGGTGGGGAGGGGCTGGGTGGGGAGGGGCTGGGTGGGGAGGGGCTGGGTGGGGAGGGGAGGGTGGGGAGGGGCTGGGTGGGGAGGGGCTGGGTGGGGAGGGAGGGGCTGGGTGGGGAGGGGCTGGGTGGGGAGGGGCTGGGTGGGGAGGGGAGGGGAGGGTGGGGAGGGGCTGGGTGGGGAGGGGCTGGGTGGGGAGGGGAGGGGCTGGGTGGGGAGGGTGGGGCTGGGTGGGGCGGGGCTGGTCACCCCGTGGTGCCCTTATAAAACTCAACGTTTAACCTACTCACGCCGGCTTGTGCCCGCCCTCACAGTCGGGCATAATTGCGGAATACACCACGCCGCCGTTGACCCTGGCCATTGACCGAGCAACCCGACGTTCCTACCAGCTCCCTCCGCAGGAGGAATGTGTTATTTATACCCGGCACTTTGAAGGCCCCCCACTTGTGCATCATCTCCCAATTAAACGCAAAACCACCAAACAAAGACAAAGGTCCCCCGTGTAGCCTTAACAGACTTGTTGGGGCAAGTGCTGTTAGCGAGCAGCACCCTACGAAGGCCGGCACTGTGGCACACGGGGAGTGGTTGACCGGTACCACGCCCGGCCGCCTTTGTCTCCCTACAGTGGCGATGTTTACACAGCGCACC